CCAAAGGTACAGATTTTTTTCTCTGTTCATTTACTTTTTTGACTTCCTTCTTGAAGAACTAGCCTTAATTTTCTCAGAAGTAATCACTCTCAGAAATGTTGCTTGCACCATCTCTTCCTGCACCAGCAGCTCCTTAGGTTTGGAAACCCAGGAAGCCTGGCTTTGAAAACACTGGATAAGTAACCAAATTCCTTATGAACAAAGGAAAAAAAAAAAGTCATTGGATTTTGGAAATTCATACACAGAGCTCTTTTTGAAACTATTTGTCTTTCTCCTTGGTGAGGAGAAGGGAGCTATGGTGGTTGCTGAGAGAAAAGGTGGTGCAATAAAGCTGGACACAAATGATTAACAGAGGCAAAGCAGAGGACTGAGGGAAGTTACTGATACTAAATAGGGTGTTGAAAATCCTTTAACACATATATTTGTTGCTTTCCTTAAGCTGTTAGTATTTTATCTAAAGCTGTTAACAATTCATTAACTCATTGGAACACAGACAAGAAGCTGGGTCTCCAGCTGAGCACCCAAGTAGGAGGTTTCAGTGTTACTGCACCAGCCAGGCCATCTTCTGAATCAAACTTCGAGTACAGGCTTCATGAAGGGTTTGAATTCAGTTTGGTTACTGCTGGAAATTGAAAGTTGACTAAACTGAGCTTGTTTTAAATAATGACTGAGCTTAGAATCTGGTTCATGATCTGCTCACTATAGACTAAACAGGTTTTAAAAGATATTAGGAGGAGGATTAATACCTTCCCAATAGTCTTTGGCAATGGCATTAGCATTTGTAAGTAAACACTAATAAAATTCCAAATTTAAGCCCACTTTTCATCACTATGTGGACACCACTTGCTGATGAGAAGTCACTGTGGAAATGAATAATAAGGAGGAGCTGCCAAAATTTGTCTTCACTTGAATGGTGCCATGGTCCAATTTACACAGCTTCAGTAGTGGGAGACAAATGAGCAGTGATTATCATTTATTCTCAGGAGCAACGGTGGTATGAATGGCTCTATCCAAAATAATCAGAGTGTTGGCTATAAGCCAAAGCAAAGGAAAGAGCAACACATGGTGTTGTACAGATTTGGACAGTTGTATAGCTTCTGACTGTGGAAAAATCTAAAGTGAATGGATGGGAAGGAGGGCGGAGGGGGAAAAGATGTTCTAATACTGTCATTTGAGAAAACGAAAGCTGTGAGATCAAACTTCTAATACATGTATCTTTAAAACACAACCACCCCCCCCAGTATTCTGTCTCCTGTATGCATTTCTTCTATACTCAGGAGGATTACACAGTACTTTCCAGCCTTTTCTCCGCGTGAATCAAACACCCCCAGTCCTTGACTAAGTGGGAGGTCTATCCACCAATTATGTCCTGCTTATTTGATTTCTAAAGTAGTAGTTAAAGCATAAAAGTTTGTGTGAGAATATGAAATGCTTCAACCCACTTCTTTTCTAGTTAGTTGTGTTTCTCTCTAACTTACCTGTTCACTTTAGATAATGGGATTGGTGCTTAGAAGGTGTCTTGGAGCTCCTGCTGGATAGGCAATGAAATGTTTTCTGCTCCTGCAGCGCTGGTGGAGTTCCTGCTGCATGGTACTGTTAATACTTGCCCTACATACATCCTGATTTTTCTTCTCATCATCAGACACCCAAAAAGAAAAGCAATACTGTGCTCTCGGTTGGAAGATCAGGAGTGAGAAGACTGAGATCTAAGTTCTTTGGGAAAGGCTGCAGTCCCACTGGATTGACAGCTATCGCACCCTTTTTTGTCAGTTGAGGTGGACTCATTTGGAGGTTTGGTTTCTTTTTAACTACTGAAAGAGGTGGGCAAAATAGCATCAGATTTATTATATAGTAATTCAGTACAACAGTTGTCAGTGCCGTATTATGACGAAGCTCTTCACTTACTGTATTTTGCACACTGCAGCCCTCTATGAGCTGCCTTCCATCATCAGAGCTCTTTTGAGGATCTTAATTTGTGTAACCACTATAGGAAAGGCTCTGAGCAAATGTTATCCAGCCTGAGGCGCTACACATTAAACAGTCTTGTGAACCCTGAAACTAATGAAACCAGATCTTCTACTTCATTAAACTGACAGTTTATTGAAGTTCTCGTTACTATTGTTCATTTTTTGCTAGTTTGTTAGATTTGTTATGTTCATCCCTCTATAGAGTTGCAGATGAGGTCACTGAAGGGAGCTGTGTTTGCAATAGAAAAGAAATGGCAAAAAAAAAGAAAAAAAAGAGGCAAATTATGAGGTACTTTCTTTGTTTTTAAAATCAAAGTCAGTTGTAACAAGCGGCAGACTTCCTGAGCATCCTACCCGCTGCATTGCAGAGATAATGTGAATGACAGCCATTGTGATATCACCTTGGGGAACAGCTCCAAACAGCCATTCTTTAACAGCCGTCTTATCTTCATACTGGCTGATTTATACATTAATTAATTATATATGGCATAAATTGTAGCCCAGTAAAAATGATATGAGCCCTTTCAGGACAGGGAACATGATATTTTGCCACCACTAATAAGAGGCTACAGCTTTATGTCAACCTGACAATATAGAGTCTCAGGATTGACGGGGTTTGTCTTGGCCTGAGCTTGCAGCTTGGTTAACACCTTCCAGCAGCCACCTGACTGGTGCCTAAGATGGATAGACTTTAGCTCAGTGAGTCTCATGGTCAGAAAAGCACAGACAGACCCCACTGTCCTTGTGTACTCAACAGCAGTGATTTGATTAAGGGACTCTGTTGTGCAGCTTTCAAAGTTTGGCTGGGATGTGATGAAGAGGAATGAGATTGGGATGAAAAAATTAACAATAGGTCCCAAGTAGACCCAAGACTGAAGAAGGAGGAAAACCCTACCATTAAGGTCCTCCCAGCAAGGACTTCAGAATGACAGTGGTGTGTTGTAACTCTACCACCACCAGCATGAGAAGAAGGAGACTGAAATGGTCAACCTTAGGACCTTAATGCTGCACCTGAACAGTGAACACAACACCAGAGAACAGGATTGGTATTGGCTGTTTTGTCTAAAAAATGTACCTGCACCATCAATGAAGTTTTTCTCTGTTAATGAGATAATTAGGGACCACTGGACAGCTAAAAGAGTAACAATGAATTCTTAGCTCAATGGATAGTGTGTTTTCTTTTGCCCATAACAAGATGCTGATGCTCACAAAATAGCCCAACAGTAAATTTGGTGCTGAATTAATGTAGCTGCATTTGCACTCATGGTACCAAACCTGTGAGTTATTTTGTTTGATGGTACATAGCAAATACTGTAAAGAGACCAGTCTTGCAACATAACTTGACTAAGTGCTGAAGCAGTTTTCTAATTCCTTCTATCTAGTTAAAACATGCTCTGGTTCTAACAAGCTGCACCACAAAGCTTAGTGCCTTGCTGTCCAATTAGCAAAAGCCAGATATTACCCATATCAAGGGTAAACTTGTCTTTCCCTATTCCTTGATATTCCTCATCAAAGCTTTAATTTACTAGGCCTCTGCCTTTCAAACCCAAACTCGATTCTCCCTTACTTGAAGGGGGTGCTAAAATCCTCACGTATAGGCAATGTGTGATGAGACATTGTAAATTCTTAACAAATCTTGCCTCCTATACTGTGAAATTCAGAAAGAGAGCTCTCCCAGGTGGATTCCCCAGTGGCTTACAACATATCCCTCTGAATTTTCCTTCCCTCATCACAGCTTTTATCATGAAACTTGAAGAAACTTACCCATTTCTCTGTCAACAGTGGTGGAAACTGAGCTGCAAATTCAGCGATTACCAGGGGCCCAAATTCTCTTTATTTTCTCACCTTTCCACATGATTTCATGTGTACAGATCCTCCTGATTTATACTTCACAGAATCTTGAAAAGCATCTTTTCCTTTGCAAACCAGACTAAAACGTCATTTTAACCTACGAAGAAATAGCACTGGGCTTGTTTCTTGTTCACATACTCTACAAATATGGTTTCTGAGTAACGACAGAGACTTTCTGAAGCGTTTTCTCTCTTGATTTGATTTGCTATTGAGTCAACATATTATGCTCTGATGGCAAGCTTGTATTCCAGTACACAGGATGCTTTTAAATTACCATAGGCACTAAAGAATGTAATGACTTATTATGGTTTGTTGTCTGCCTTTTGGTTGTGTGTATGTTATTTACTATACTCATGATATTTACTTCTTCCTCACATCTGCCATGCTTTCATTGCCTTAATGGTCAGAGTAAATATTTTACATTACAGTAGGAATGGTAAAACATATTCCATAGTGAGAATGAAGTAAATAACCCAATACTGTATCTTTACTCTCTAATTCTATAGAACTGAGGGGGTTTTAGTTTTGTTTTGGTCTTAAATCTCAGAGCATCACTGCTAAAGTAAAGTTTACCTCTAATTAAAATTGGCCTACAAGCCTTATGCATATTCTTGTGTAACCAATTCCTCTACTTAGGGCATACAAATCTACTACATGATGAAATCAGTTTCTCTAATGATGTAGCTGGCAAAAAACAAAAACATTATTCACAGCTAGCAATGATTTGAGAATGCTTTAACAGCCCCTCAACTTACTCTTTAATGCAGCTTTAAGGTCATTGCTCCAGTGATAGATATACCCTAAAATAACAGACATGGAATGAAAGCCTGAGTATAACTACATGAGGGAAATGGGGTGCAAGGGGACAGAAAGGGTGCACCCTTTTGTAATTGTGGCCTGCATAAAAATGATACTGAGCTGGGCCAGGAGTCATATCCCGGATTAAAGATCTTTAGGAAAGAGTTTCAGCAAGAGTCAGCAATTTTGTCCTCCCTGCAAAGAAGTTAAGCTTTTCTTGGGATACAGCACTTGCAGTGTATAGCCTCAAGTGTAACACAGATTTATTTGGCTTAGCATCTTAAGTAGGTGATATTTGCAAGAGTATTTCCCTCTCCTCTTCTTGCCAAGGCAGGAAATAATATTAATCAGCTTTGCTGAAGTCATTTTCCTCCATTATTTCAGGTAGAAAGACCCATGGGAAGCCAAGGTCAGAACTCAACAGAAGGGAGTAAAACCTTAGGGGAGCAACAAGGAGGAAAAGAAAGGAATGAGGAAACAAATATTAAAACAAGAGAAAAAAATAATAAAGGAAACACACAAATTATAGAGATCCTGATCAGTAGTGATGTTCAGGTAAAGTATTAATTTTAAGCCTTTTAAAGCTTAAATACTTTGGAGCATTGGGCTAGAGGAATTGCCTAAATACCAAATTGCACTAGTTGAAATAAAAACTGTCAGGTAGCATGTCCCAGTGCTAATTAAGCCAGTACAAATTGGTGTTCTAAAATATACTGATTTAAGACCTTGGTTACGTTTGTGAATTTATCCCAGTCTACAGAACAGATTTCACAGGTGAAATTAACAAGCCAGGCAAAAGTACATGTCATGCTTCCACAAGGAGTGCTTTGGTTTACAAATGAACATGTGCTAATGTCAACCTACAACTAAGTTCATGGGAATTACACTATCGTTTGGTACTTCTGCTATTGCAAGGCTGCCAAAGCTTGCTATTAATCTTGGTTTTCCCTTCCTGCTTCTGTTCCACTGCCACTTTTGCTATACAGAGAAAGCTCTGTGCTAGTAGCTTCACCCACCTCTTACTTTTTTCCAGCTGTGCTGTCAACCTTCTGTCTGTCCTTTACAGTTCATAGGCAAAACCTTGGAATGTGAATAATAAAGGTGCTTTAGTGATCTTCAGTGATTATACCCCCATGACTTGCCTGATACATATTGAATCTCAATTTGAAACATCTTCCTCATTGGTATTTGGATATCATGGTGAGAAACCCATTAGTAATGTCCCTGGTAGGTTTCTCCCTGATAGAATATTCCTGCAGTGGGAGCCTGGGCATGACTTGGCACTGTTGGGGAGGGAGTAACTTCAGCCATGGCTGAGGGAATTAAAACATCTGAAATGGTGTCAGGCAATTGTGATAGGTATTGTGGCATAGTCAACACGTTTCTTAAAGGGCAGGCAAGGAAAAGCAGAGGTTCTACAGAGGTAGAGGTTTGCCGCGTATTTCATCAAATGCATGAGCAGCCCAGCCGGATGTGGCAGTCTGTCTGAAAACACAGGAGACAGATTTTCTAAGGTGACAAAGTACCAAAGGATGAATGCAACCAACTACAGCAAAAACCTCATAGGTGCTAATCTGCATTTTAGGCACTTCAAAAATCTGACCTTAAGCCTTAAGTAACTGGCTACCTGCTTTCTCATGGAGTAGACACTCCCCTTCATCCCTCCAAACAAAACCAAACCAAACTTGGTAGGTTTGTTCAATTGTAAATGCATTTTCTAGAAACTTCTGTGTACCTTTGTACATCGTGTACTGGGTCGTGTGCATAGAGAGCTTAATGAACAGAAACACTTTTTGGTTTTAATTTCAGACATTTAAAAGCGAACACTGTATGTATACTACCTTTGCACTTTTTTAGACTGCATATAGTCTTTATTAGCATATTTAAGGTAGATGCAGGATCACAGATAACAAAACTGACATCGATATTTTACATTTGATGTGCATACCACTTTAAAATTAAGCTCATTAAGGATAATAGAATGATCCATTGGCAGGCCTGCAGCTGCAGACCGAGAGGTGACAGGCTATTTGGTGAACAATTTACTGAGTGTCTCACTCCCTCCTCCTTCTTAAGCATGGGCATTGTAAGTTCATTCTATTAACCTTAATAGGTTTGCTTTCAAAGTGTTTTACTCTGAAGATTTAAACGTGAACTCTATCATATGTCAGCCTGCAGCTAACTTAAGCAACTAAAGTAAAAGAAGATGCAATAGATTTATCTATGAGCATATTTGTATGTATGCCCACAAGTAGTAGCATCTAATGCACATGAAGAGATGATGTACTTTGCCCTGCATGATGCTCTTCACTGTAGGTGTTTTGTTATTCCATAGGGTCTCTCCGGAATTTTTCTTTCAGTTAAAGAAGCATTACTGGCAGGCATCTCCAGCTAGCTGAGTGTCTTTGCATGCACTAGTTGGAAAAGGTCATGCATGAGAGAGAAGCTTGTTTTCCTCAAGTAGCAATTCCAGTAGATAGATACATGAGGGCTGCCCTCTGTCCAAGCAGGACTTTATTTTCACCTGGGACTCAAAGACAGAAGTAGCAAGCAGTAACAGATTTAGCATTTGAGTTGAGGGCAGGCTCAGGCAGCTTTGTTCATACTAATGGGACAGAAGTAGCAGCCATTATCTTTTCTCTATTGCTGCCTTTTAGAGGGCTCATCAGGCAGTGCTGCTGCCACTTCAATGGAACCTAACAAAGACACTGAAGCAGGTAGGTGCCTCAGTGCCTCCATCGTTTCCATCCCAGAGATTCCTCAAAGTGGCTCCCATCACAGTGACACTATCCCTGACAGATTTAGGTCCTTGCAGGCCTCAACATTTCTGTCTTTGATCAGTTAGAGCAGTGGCTTGCAGAGGTCATTACAGCTGTAATTGTCAGCTATTAATAGCCCCACTATTCATCACCCTTGGGGTCATCACCACAGCGAATACTATATGGGCCTTGGCCAAACTTATCTCAGCCAAGACACCAGTGATTTGTGGGCAGGACCTAGACCTGTTCTTACCCTGAGACACTATTCACCTTCTGATCTCCACTACCTTAGGTTCATGTTGACTGCCCTGCTGGCTCAAATGACTGCAGGTAAAGGTTGCCCTCTGCAGTTTTACAAGACCACTTCATTCCCCTGGGACAGGGGTGAGAACCTGATAGACCACCATGTAAAGCTATTGCAACTTACTTTCACTCAGAACACAGTGGCATATGGATGTGGCGAGAAATGCAGGAAAGCATTCCTCACACCTCAGCAGCCCATGCCATCCCATCTGCTCTCACACGCAGTTCAAATGCACGATATTCACTTCCCAGATGCTGCCTCCTCATGCCACCTACTGAGAGGGCTATGCTTGAGGAATAGCGCAGTTAGCAAGGCTCAGGATAGAGACATCAAAAACTAAAAATCCACGGGTTTTTTTTTGTTGCTGTGGAATGCGCTTATATTAGACTGTGCTGAAGACATAGTCCTGAGAGGAAAATGTGGAGTGATTCTCCATATTGGCTGTTCCACACCGCAAAGACAATGAGAGTTCCAGACAAAAATAAGACAATCCTTCCAGGCAGAACAGAACGCAGCATCTCACTGGATTCTTCCTACTTCTTAACTCTTCTTGTGCTGCCAGGACACCACAGTGAAGGCCTCTCAGAAACTCCTAACCAGGTTGGTTAAACAGCTTGCCTAGCATCTTGGCCATCTGCATAGTCTCCTCAGTCCACAAAGTCAAGAATACAGTGATAGCTATTAGACTGCACAATCTCTGTTTAAGTTTGTCCATAGTGAGTTGAGAGCAGCTGATTAAGTGAAAATTCTTTATTTCTAGAAGTTATCACTTCAATACACAATCCTCTTTCCAAAGTTTATCCTGCATTCATCTTCATGACAGAATATTGTTCATTAGCATAATAAATCTTCTCAGTTTGTATAGAATAGCTTGATAAACAAATGCCATCTGTCTATTCATTAGTAATACAGATTTATTTGTATTTGGCTGTGGATCTCAGGTTGATTTAAAAGTATGGGTATACTTTGTTGATGCTGTTGTACAGATGAGGAAACAAAGGCGTAGAATGCTACAAACCAGATCTCTCCAAGGTAAGTTAGTTCCTTAGTTGATCCATACTTGAGGATACAGATGTATGTGGTTTGATTCTGTCTACCCATGTCAATAGTAGAGCATGGATTAAAACTCGGCTCTTCTGAATGCAGTGTCTTCCCTAGTTGGCTCTGTTAACTGTTCCGGGACCTGGACTCGAAGAGCTTGTGTGTTAGATTCTGTCTGCCTGCGTATAGTGGTGACTGTGTGCAGGTTTTTTGTTTGTCTTTTTTTCTTCTCCTGAATGATTGTACCTTTCAAATTGGTGGTTGAGTTTTAAGGAGGTTATGGGGACTTGAATTGTTGGCACAGGGGAATTGCAAGGATATAATGCCTATAATAAAGCATCCCATTTATCCACTGATGCCTGCATTTTTTTCAATTATAAAGTACTTAGGGATATTCAGGCAGATAGCTGAGCTAGCTAAACATTCCTAACCTTATTATTCTGCACAAATACTGGAATAGCTACCAGAATGAACCATCCCAGCCTGTTCCTTTTAGCACTGGTTTATTTTAATATAAAGTTACCCTGTGGAGAGAAGGAGAAAATATTCTTCACATATCTACACTGCATGAAACCTGACTGCCAGTCTTGTACAGACTGTTCTAGTTTACCAATAAAATTGGAATAGCAGGAAGAACAAATACCCATACTTTACAAGCAGCTTGTTTCAGAAGTCACCAAGAGGGACCTCTGAAGGTACTTGGGTAATTTTGAGTCTACCTACTTTCCAGTCAGAAGGCTTCAGATACACATTGCCAGTTACTGAAATCTGCCATAGTTTTTGAACAGTACCAAAAGTACTTTTCAGTCAAGCACAGAGATAGGATTCCTGTTTTGGGTGAAGGATGGCAAAAGGGAACGGACAAAAAATAAACCATTAGATGATGATGTCTGGCATTACCAGACCAACTTGCCTTTGGTCTAGGGAAGGGACATTATGCTGTAAATTCTAGAGACAGGTCCTATCATTTTGTTGGACAACATCCTTAAATACCTCTAGACCTTGCAGTCCCAACTAGATTGGGCGATTTCAAAGAAGGAAAAAAGTTCTAAAAGCAACTAATGCTACTATAAATTAGCCTCAGCAGTATACCTGACTATTGATCACCCTAGGGAAACACAGCAGACCCTGCAGGCTTTAGCCCTGTTGTATAAATCCCATTCAAATCCCCTTGCAATTCATGCTGACTTCCCTCTTCTTTCCTTGCCAAGTCTCAGAAGATGTTCTGAGTAAATAAAAGCTGCTGCCCTGCTAATAACCCTTCAACTCTTCCCATCTGATCAGTTTTAGTCATGCTGAAGTGCAGTGCTAGTCAAGTCATAACTATGCTCTATAGAAGCTGCTTCTATATGAATGACTGCTTCTCTGAATAGTTTTCCTAAAGAAGAGGAAGCTATCTGGAATCTGATAAGAATAATTTTTACATATATAAATATATATAAAATAATATATGTAAATGGCAGTTTCTGCATACACAGACCAGTCATCAAGTCTGTGCAAAATTAGTGGTGAATATTATCAGGTGAGAGGCATGACTGGCTGGCTGGTTACCAGAAGAGGTTAAAAAGTCTGAACACTCCCTCAACCTTTCCTGCAAATCAGTCAGGAACCTCTCTGTCAGACAGCCTCATCTGTCACTCAGGAGCTACATCTGCTTGCCTGTTTATTTTCTTACTTAGGGTTGAGGTCACCTGCCCTCCTTTTAGCTAATCAGAGGAGACAGCAGTAATCAAAGCACAAGACCAGTGCTCTTGGGATGTCTTTCTTGAATAGCCTCTCTGTGTGTTCTTCTGCAGACCTTGCAAAGTGATGTAGACATATACATTCAGAGGAAAAGAACAAGAGTTTGGTTTGGTTTGAGGTCCAGCTAGAGGAAAGAAATATTTCTGAATCTTATATGCTACCTGAAAAAACAGGCCTAATATTTAGCGAGGAATTTCCTCTGGGTGACAGGAAAGAAACTGTTGCTAGTTTTATTAGATGGTAGCTCTTCACAGGGAAATTCAACCGATGTCCTATCACAGAAGTGCAAAAAGCAGGTGAAAGTACTTCTTCAAAGAAGTACATCAGTCTCCTTATTGCTCATTGTCCTTAAGGGACTATCTGTAGGAGAGCATGCCAGGCTGGGTAGTTACTCATCTTGCCTTTCTGAAACTTCTTCTACTAGATACCTTTGTTAGGCTCTGCTAAACAGTATTAAACAGTTTCAGGCCCTGCCTTAGAGATCAGTGCATTTCAGCATCAACATTAGCTATTCCTGTGGAGATGACTCTTAAAAAGGGCTTTATAATGTGGATGAGACGTTTGTACCTGAGAGACAGGACAGTGAAAGCCAGAGATAAGGGAGAGAAAGCACACCTGACTTGTTTGCCCTTTGCCTAGTGGGGGGGGCTGGCAGTTTGCTGCACCTTGCAAACCCTTGAGCATCTTGAAAGGATTTAAAGGGTACCAGTGCCAGCCTGCTCTCTCAAGACTGACTTCTGTCTGTAATGCTATTGTTGTGATGAATCATGCATTGCCATGATTAGCAGAGAAAGGTGCAATTACTTTCTTGCAGTGGTGGCTGGTAAAGGACTGCCTGGAACTCCAGGCCTGGCAGAGATGGAAAAAGCATCTTGTCAGATATGAAGAGAGCAGAGATATGGAAATTACTGCATTTACAGAAAAAACAGTATGTTAAAAGGAGCAAAGCAGAAGATGAAAAAGGCTTGTAAATGAACACTATCCAGTAATAGGGCCCTGACTTGGATGGATCTTCCCCCTTAGTGGGTATGGCTGTTCTCATGCCTAAGAAGCCTCTCCTGCTTATCAGCAACTATTTATACCAGATGGTATGCCCCAAGAACAAATAAAACCAGGAAATTAGGGACACTTACAGATACTGAAGAAAAATAAGCTGTCCCGGAGAAGGTTTAATAGTTTTACCCAGTACTAGGAAAGTGCTTGGCAAAATTGAAAGAAAAAAAAGAGACAGCATGGAAGAAGAGACAGCTAAGAGGAGGAGAGCACAAACCAGCTGCATGGCAGTCCCCTTATGGCCTCTTCTTGAGAGGGAGGGCAAGCTGCTGCTTCCTGATGCTTGTTAACCTGCTTAAAGAATGATGCTGGGATGATATCAAAGTCCCTAACAGTGTTTGAAATTCAAGTTCTCAGTAGAAAGGGAAAACTTTCTAATGGCACAAAAGTGAAATAAAACACTTACTGTAGTGTAAATGACAGTTACCTCTTCATGTCCTTGATATATTTGCCTCTAATTTCTCTCATTGTGAAGACATGAACGCTTCTAACGCTTCTGGATTTGTCAGTCTTTGTAGAGCAAAGCTGCTTTTAGAGTATAATCTCTTCTATGTTGCAGGACACCTTATCCAAGAGGGCCAAAGCAAAGGCCTAGTGCTTGCACCATTCAGACCCAAGACATGCCTACAGCCATTATAGACTTTTGGTATCATGCAGGACAAACATGGCCCATCCTAACCCCACACGGGAGTCACTTAAATTCTGTTGATCTGTGAATCCCTGAGTGTGGACAGAGTAGCAGGCTGACATGTTGGTCCCTCTTCCCTCCCAGTTGACTGGAAATATTGACTATCACAGAACTATAGAGTCAACTGGGTTGGAAAAGACCTTGAAGATTGAGTTCAACAGGGCCTCCAGCACTAAACCAGATCACTGAAAGCCTTACCTACATCTTTTTTGAACACTTCCAGGGACAGTGATTCCACCACTTCCCTGGGCAGACTGCTCCAATGCCTGAGCACCCTTTGGGGAAGACATTTCTCCTAATATCCTAGTCTAAACTTCCCCTACTGCAGCTTGAGGCCGTTTCCTTTTTTTCCTGTCACTCATCACTTGGGAGCACAGACCAGCCCTCTTTTGGCTCCATCCTCCTGTCAGGCGGTTGTAGAGAGCGATAAGGTTCTCCCCAAGCCTTCTCTTCTCCAGACTAACCCCCCCAGGTCCCTTAGCCATTCCCCATCACACCTGTGCTGCAGGCCCTGCACCAGCTCCACTGCCCTCCTCTGACCCCACTCCAGCACCTCAATGTCTCTGTTGTAGTGAGGGACCCAGAACTGAACACAGGATTCGAGGTGTGGCCTCACTAGTGCCCAGCACAGAATAATCACTGCCCTGGCCCTGCTGGTCACACTACTGCTGATGCAGACCAGGGTGGTGGTGGCTTCTTGGCAGCCTGGACACAAGCTGCTCATGCTCAGCTGTGACAGTCAGCACCCGCAGGGCCTTTTCTACCACAGTGTCGTCTTCCAAACACCTCTAAACCGAGACCTCACCCTCCCGTCTTGTCCCACCCCAGGCTGCCTCTGCGAAGCACCCGCTCGGCGCCGCACCGCGGGGGGACCGGAGCCGCGGCCTCTGCTGCCCTCTGCTGTGGGGCCGGGCCGCGGAACAGCCTGTGGTGGCGGTGCGAGGGGAGCTCCGAGCACTGCAGCGTGGGGAACCGCGCTGGGTACGCTTGGTTTGGTTTCAGTTTCAATGCACCGAGAGCGATTAACCACTTTGGGATTGAGCGAGCCGTTCGTCACCGGCTCTCAAAGCAGAACACTTCCAGTCCCGACAGTGACTTCCAGGTATTTTTATTGATGGTGCCCACCGCTCCGCCCTAAGTAACCCCATCGCGCTCTAAATGTTCAATAAAAGGGAACTCAACGCGGCCGCTCTTTTAGAAGGCGAAAAAGCGAGCACACCACCGTCCTCCTCCAGTTGTACCTGCTCGTCATGGCCCCCTAAACGCCGCCGTAGCGAGCCGGCATTGCTCCAGTGCCAGAAACGTCCCCGAGGGGCAGCGGGAACCACAGCCCCAGGACGCAGAAGTGAAGGCCCGCACCTCGGTGCCCACACTGCCTGTGACCCATCCGCTCCCCCTCAGCACAGGCCCCGGCGCCAGCCGCCAATCAGCCGCTCCCCGTGCCCCGCCTGCCCGCCGCTGAATCCATCGCCGAGCAACGGATCGCGACGGCGATCGATTCTCTCGTCTTGCCTTTCACCCTCACACCCCCTCTTCCCGCCGGGTCAGACGCACCGCCCCGGGCGCGTGGCTGCAGGTGCCCTGCGGGAGCAGCAGTTCCTCAGGGAAGAAGAGACGGGATCACCGCTAATCCCCGTCCTCCCGCCTCTCTCTGTGTGTGTCCCTCATCTCCCCCGTTCCCGCCGCGCTGGCTCAGGGCTCTCCCCCGCCGCGAGCTGGGCGGACATGGAGCGCGCGTTTGCGCCGCTGGACTGCCTGCTGCCCGCCGGTACGGTACCACACACCGCCACCCGCCCGCCGTGAGGGGACGGGGGGAAGGAAGGGGAGGGCGGAGTGAGGCGGGGAGGCCCCTGTGACGCCGCCGAGGTGCAAAGACGCCCTCCCCTGTCGCCTGTGTGTGGTGGGTTTGGAGCTCTCCGGTCCAAGCGGTGTAACGTTGTGCCTGCGCAGCCGCTGACTCTCCGTAAGGGGCCGCCCTCCGGGTTGGGCCCGAGTCTGCCGCGCTTCGGTCGGGTTGTGTTTCATATACCGGTTTGTGATCATTTAAGCCCCTCTTGCTTCAAACTGGTATTTGGAATTTCACCCCCTTTGGGTTCAGTCAGTAGTTTTAGTGAGCTTGCCGTAGGTTTCTTGCGCTGTCAGTGAAGCGTATCCCTTGGCAAGGAGCCCTCGGTCTTTGGTGTGCTTTTCGCGTGCAGGGTTTTGCCGTGCCCGCAGAGACTGCTGCCTGGGCGCTTCTCCCTGCTTGCCTCTTCAGTTCTGCAAGGCTAAGCGTTAGAGCTTGTTTTGGGGTTTTTCTTGGGGTTTTCCCAAGCTGTTCTTGAGTGGTCTGTTTCTGTGTGTTATTTTGGAGACCTGAGAGCCAAGCGTTACTAATACATAGCATTAGCCTTGTCATCTCTGAAAACAGAGCACCTGCAATAAGCCCAGACACATCTGTTGCAAGGTCCTGCGCCTGGGTCGGGGCAGTCTAAAGCACAACTACAGGCTGGGTGGAGACTGGATTGAATGAGAGCAGCCCTGGGGAGGAGGACTTGGGAGTGTTGGTTAAGAAGCTCAACATAAACCAGCTTCAGTGTGTGTTTGAGCCCAAACCACCCACCCTCTACTCGTGTGCTAGGCTGCATCAAAAGGAGCGTGACCAGCAGGTCGAGGGAGGGGTTTTTCCCTCCTCTGCTCTCATGAGACCCATACTGCAGCTTTGGGGCAACAACACAAGTGGGACGTGGAGCTGCTGGGGTGAGTCCAGAGAACCCACGGAGATGCTGCGAGGGCTGGAGCAGCTCTGCTCTGGAGCCAGGCTGAGAGAGCTGGGCTGGTTCAGCCTGGAGAAGAGAAGGCTCCTTAAGGGGAGACCTTAGAACAGCTCCAGTGCCTAAATTAGGGGGCTGACAAGAAATCTGGAGAGGGACCTTTTTACAAGGGCATATACTGACATGGCAAGGGGAAATGGCTTTAAATTGACAGAGGGGAGATTGAGATTAGGTATTATGAAAGAAATGGTTAATGTGTGATGAGGCACTGGCACAGGCTGCCCAGAGAAGCTGTGGCTGCCCTATCCCTGGCAGTGTTCAAGGCCAGGTTGGACAGGACTTGGACCAACCTGCTCTAGTGGAAAGTGTCCCTGCCTGTGGCAGGGGGTTGGAACCAACTGAGCTTTAAGGTCCCTTCCAGCCCAAACCATTCTATGATTTTAGTAGCTTGTACACTGTTTGGAATAGGTACCTCTTATTCCCTATGTCGTTGCAGTATCTAATTCAGTACGTCGTGATTTGCTATTCAGTTATACCATTATAAACAGTAAATATTTCTATTTTTTTATAATATAATCTTTTTATAATATAATCTTTTTATAATATAATGACTTTAAAGCTGCATAAAAAAACATTTTGGCATAGTAGCTGAATTCTGACTTGCACTACTCTTTTCTGCTCTGTTCTGTCACTGCAACTTAAGCTGCCGTTGTGAGGTCTGTGTTGTTTATTCACTAGCAAGATCTGAAGGAAGGGAAGAGTTATAACAGAATGTATGCTTTTAACAGTTCAATATTTTTTTACAGCCAGCAGCCTAAGAACATGTTTAAACTCTTTCCTGTATATATATAATTTTTTTAATTGCATTTTGCTCTAATTTAAAAAATTTTTTTCAGGATGTGTTCAGAGCCAGAAATGTATATTTTACTCTCTGTGTGTATTTTGAGATGCATCATTGCTTTGGGTAGAAAGAAGGGGATGAGCACGGGGGTGAGATAATCGTAGGTGAGGTTTGATTTATTGCAGCATGATGTGTTCTTGTATGAAATGAGGACTAATTATTTATTAAGTATATACTAAGGTGAGACAAAAAATGTACCTTAAGAGTTTATCCCTGTGTAAGAGCCAGCATCACTATTTATATTCTAAGCCATTTGCTCTGATAGGCATTTGTATGATGTTAGGGTTACTGCACATCCCCAGTTCCCACCAGTTGTCTGTTTAGGTTCCCCCCCCCCCCCCCCCCTTTGGTTATGTCTGGTTGGAGGTGAAGATTTGGGTGTTTTTTCACAGTTTTCAAATGACTCACAGCCTTCTCAGACCAGAGGCTTCAGCTGAGTGTCAGGAAGCCTGCTTCATCTGAAAAAATGGCTGCTACAAGTACATGAGTTGACTTGGTTACACAGGATAGTGTGGCTATAAAATGCCAAGTGGTACTGCATCAGGATCCTTGTTGTCATTACAGACATTCATTACCAGCATTTCCAGTTGGTTTAGCCTGCTCAAAGTCTGAAAGGCTGATCAGATTTATTTGGCAAGTTGGTAGTTTAAAATCTGGTATCCTACTTGGGGAACTCAGAAATAACGGTTTTCAGAGTTGAGTGGGTGAAATGAGGCTCCCAAATTCTTCGTGAGGAATTATCAGCAGTTCCTTCATTTATTTGCTTCAGTGGGATATGTATGTAAGTGTCCAAATAATACAAAGCTGATTTGTGTAGAACATGATGCTCTGTAGAGGCTTGATGGGAGGTTTCAAAACAAACCCTTGTGAGGACATTGGAGTACTACAGGCCTTGTCTCCTTGCCTTCAATAGCATAAATGTGCAATAGCAATGTATATTATGTTTCTGGATGCTTTCTAAAGCATTCCCACCATAATGTGCAAACACAGTGGCACCTTATGGTGAGGAGAATGGGATAGATTTGTCAGCTATGTTTGGAGGTTATTAGTTATTTTACATTTCTTTTTGAAGGTGTTCAGAAGTGGTGCTGACATTTATGTGGAAAAGAATAAAACATAGGTTTGGAACCTAATATTAGGTACCTGAATTGTAATTTCGGGTCCATGTGCATTTTGGTAATTTTCGTCAGTGTAGTTAGGGCAAGTTCTTATTTAGATTGCACGTTTCCCTGTATTGCACCTGACTGAAGTCCAAGCAGTAGATATTTGAGAACTGCTGTGCTAACTAATGTGCTCAGGGACATTGAATATTATTCAGTCAAACAGCTGGAGCATAGTTGAAAATCACTGCGCTACAGTCAGAAACTGTGTTGATTTGCCTAATGTAGTTTAGAATGGGGAACAAGATAGAAGTTGAAGTGGGGTTAAGCTCTAAATATGAGTACTGCATATTGAAACAAATATATTCTTATTTTCTCGTGAAATGAAACTGTTAAGAAGTTTCACAGGGGTTCACCCTGAAGTCCTGTATGGTGCTATGAAAGGGTCAGGCAGAAGCTTCATAGGGTGAAGCTCTGACACAGCTGTTTTAGAAGGCTCGTAATGATATCACACTATGGGCCTGTGAATCATGACAAGAGTAGCTTTGTTTCTTCTGGAGTATCCTGCTATAGGCTAGACATTAACCTCCTGCTGTTTATACCCTTTTCTTGCACTCTCATTGCCTCCTGCTGATTGTCTCAGACTGTGCTGCAGGCATTTCTGCAGAGATACAAGTGTTTCTAATTTATTATTTTAATACTGTGAACTTTAGGTGTTGAGTGTGCTATGCTTGTGATGCTTGTGTGTGATTAACAGTGTAAGTCCTGTAGCATCCTCTAATAAAGTTGCCCTGGAATACCACTTGGGACTTTCAGAAGGGCAGAGTGCTGGTTTACTAAGATGTGTTTTCTCACAGCAATGTTTTACATTGTGTGCCATAGCATGGCCTGGATTCTCACTTACCTCCAGATATGTTTAATAATTCCTTGCCTTGCACAGTCCTTAAAGTGCAGCTCATGATTGGTTTTATCAAGTGAAGTGATGCAGAAGGAGGATGTCTTTCTCAGTTTATAATCCAACAGCTCTCAATATGAGTGTTGTGTCTTGTTGAGGTGGAGGGACTACAAAGAACCAGCAAATCTGGTTCTTCTGCTCTCTTCTGTGCCTTGCAGACGGTTTGTTGGAGCTGGGCTTCCTATGACTGACAGGGAGCCTGTGCTACCAGTGAGAGTTGATTCTGCCAGTCGCTATTCCTCTCTGCCCGAGCCCAAACACACTCCTGAACCGTGCTGCATCAAGAGCTAGTGATTAAGACACAGCCTGCTGAGAAGAGGGTGTGTAGCTTCATCCCACTGAAGCAAGGTCATCTATATGTCATGTGAAACAATGCCACACCAAATAGGACAA